GAAATTGATGTCTATTTTATCTTTTGTTCATTGGATCGACGTTGAAAAGTCACGTCTAAGGCTCAAACCACACTAATGTGTTTTTAAAAGTGTCCGTTTTCGCCCCAAGCAAAATGATGCAAAATAATTCATCCCACACGAGCGTTTTCGTTCCCTCTCAACTGTCCACAAAAGAGCGTTTTGATTTGACAATTCATACAGCTTGATGTATTTTCCCCTATCGGAAAAAAAAGAGCCTGGCTAAGAACGCAGATGACTGGGCGACTGTATGTTCTTAAAAGCCCAAGTTTTCAGTTTTCCACAAATAAAACGGAGTGTTTTTAAAATAATGCGTTTTCAAAACATCCATTTTTAAAACTATTGGCGAGATTCTCCCATTCATCGGTGTTCTTTTTTTAGGATGTGGTGCGTTTGCCAGGCCAAAACACACCAAAAGAATATGTTTTCCAACGCCTGAAAACCCATCAGTGTGGATCAGGCCTGAAATGTTTATGAATAAAAATTTCCGTTTTCATGAAAACCTTTCCCTGGCTTAATGCTAATATAACTTTATAAAAAGGTTTCTGTAAACCTTAGCCACCAGCAGAAATCAGTGTCTATTTTTAGGGAGTGCAAAGAGATTGTATACTTTGTGGACATGTCTTCGTTCGAATGAACTGCAACTCCAACATGATGACCAATCATCTTCTCAAAAAATTTAATTGCGTAATTGCTTCTTCTGAGCTCTATGGGTTCAGAATCATTTTGTTGAGGCTTTGAATTGTCCTGATTATGGGAAAGGAGGAGTTTATATTTAGTTCTCAGAATCGTGGCTGAGTTTTATCTTTCGTTTCTTATATGAAAATAGTTTAATTTGACTGCTTAAGAACATGCAAGAATACGAGAAGACGAAAAGAAGTTATACACCCTCGGAAAACTTCTCTAAGATTTGAACATGGCTACATTTCCTAAATTTAGGGCCGCCCAAAAGAACTTCGCAAAGGGTGTCAAGATGTCCTCCATGGATATCCCTAGGCCGTTGCATTGCGTAAATGAGCCTCCTTTTGTCAATTTTTTTGTCCGTTCAAGCACTTCTAAAAATTGCAAAATGACGATTCGTCGATTTATTTTGACCAAAATATCTTATGCTGTTTAACAAAAAAGACGTTCAAGTGCAATTCATCTGCAAACGACCTACATATAAATTTTCATTTATATCAGTACGACTGGTAACCCTTTTCCACACTTTTAATTTTTATCGTTAAATCAACAAAAAGTTTTAATTGTACGAGTGGGTATACTTCAGTTTGTCGAGGGGAATGAGTCTGTATTATTTATTAGGCGAAGAGAACCCACTGCTTCGGTTACTTGCCAAGCCGTGGTGGACGAGTTTGAAAATGCTTAGAGAAGCCCAGCTTTTCCATTCTTCATTTCGGTTTAAGTGTTATCGGCCCGTTATTATAACCACATATAATTTCTTAAGTCTTCAACTGGTGAGATATACATGTGTTCTAGCCGTATAATGCTGTCAGAAATCATTTTAATTGACCACACTCTATTAGTAACAATGTAACTCCAACAACCTTTGAAGCAAAATAACTTTTCATGACCACCTCCTAGAAAATCATGAATTTTTCGCGATGCCGAAGAAACAATGAATACCTACAATCGAAAACTTTTCCTGTTTGAAAGAGACCACCAGCACTGAATTTTATGATGTTCATGGGTGTGTTCGTTTGGATTGAAAACAAAGAAAACAGCGGGTTTCTCGCCAGTATCTTCAACACAAGCTTTTGATTACAATTACAATCAATTAATATTTATTATTGATACATGATACATTAACTTCTATGATATATTAATCAATGTGGCTGATAAGCGCTTTCAGAAAAAAAAAGTATATAACGACGATCAGATTGCACACACACAAAAACGTTTCAGCTTCTCTCTGAAATAAAAAACAGAAACTTGGACAAAATTCATCTTCCTTACTGAAATGGCGTGCGATAAAATGAAAGAAATGTGATCGACAACATTGCCCTGACTTGGAGAGTAATATTTTCAGTGGGAATCACTATTAGGTCAAACTTATCTTTTTAATCAATGATGGCTGGAACTAATTTAGACCAATTTTGTTTTGAATATTAAAAACAACGAGTTTTTAACCGTTTCTCTATCGTGTCTGAAGCGTGAT